TTGGGAGCAGCCTCTCCATAAATGGGGGTAAGGCTAGCCGACATTCACCTCTCCCAGACCCTGCGTAAAGCGGGAGCCTTGTGCACTGGGTACGACTTATAACTTTTATAAGAATGAGAGAGATTTCGTTTGCCATTAACGTTATTTTGATATTTGTTATCCTGTACATTGGTGAGATGGCAATTTTTCAGTTTCTAATACCTTTTTCTTGTTTCAACTCGTACTTTTGTTTTCATTACTACCGTAGGAAAAGGTTGAAATTGGTGACAAAGCTGATGCAAAGCCTCTGGAGTTACGCGGGGGAAGCATTGAGTTTGACAGTGTACACTTCAGGTGGTGCATGCTTCTCTTTCTATCCTTCTATTATTATTGGAGCATTTCAAGATCATTGATTTTAATACATAAAGGCTGAGAGTTTGAAGACTTTGTTTCTTTTATAATTTTGGGTGTTTAAAAGAACTGGATCTGGGAAGAAGGCTTAAATTGGGTGGGAGTGAAGGCTTTGCTTGCCTTTTCTCTGAGCCGGCATTTCTCTCTCTGGCTGTTCTGTCATTGATATATCATCCCGTACTTATAGAGTAGTCGACATAGTTAGCAACTTAGCATGATGATGTAAAGGGTTTCTTGGATGATAGACGTGATCTTTATGTCGCAGATTTGCATGTGATATTATTGTAAGTGTATTGTTTATATGATCCATTGCTGATGCACTATATTTTCTATTTTTTTCCATTTATGCAGTTACCTGACAGAAAGGAAGATTCTTGGTGGGATATCATTTGTTGTAGCTGCTGGAAAGAGTGTGGCTATCGTTGGAACCAGCGGAAGTGGTAAGGGGATAATCTCTTGATACAATGTTCCTTTCTGCATTGACATAATTTAATGTCCAACATGAAATTCTATATGTTTATGGTTTGTCTGCTTCCTTTGTGACATGCTTCTACCATATTTCTGCTGCTATTGCTTGATGTTAGCCTGGCAGTTATTAGGATAAGCAAGTGATGCCCATGCATAATTATTTCTTTTATTTTAAGTACTATTGCATGGTACAGCGTATTTTATTTTTACTCAATATGCATGGGTTCGTGTATGTATTGAATTTGCATTTGCTTGCAGGCAAGTCCACCATTCTCAGATTGCTCTTCAGGTTCTTTGACACCCATTCTGGAAGTGTAAGCAAACTAATTCTGTAACAATCTATGAAATATTCCCTGAAAAATAACAATCTATGTAACTAAACAAGGAATTGGATTGAATATGACTTGATTTTTTTTGGTCAATGAATATGACTTGATTAGAGATGACCAAGCAAGGGTTGAGTTGTAAAGAGGTTTTAATAAATTGTATTTCACGATTCAAATGGGCATTCCTCTCTTTCTCATAAAAAGTTTGTCTTGGCAGATAAGGATAGATGGTCAAGATATTCGGGATGTGACACTTGAGAGTCTACGGAAGTCTATTGGTGTTGTGCCCCAAGATACAGTAAGTCCAAATAAGCAACTTCAATTTTGTTTTGTTTCTGGATTTAGTTGGTACTACAGCAAACTCTGAGGTGGCTATGCAGGATCTTGCTGGTCTTAAGTAGTAACAGCCTAATAAGGAAATATCTTGTGGTTGGCAGGTGCTTTTCAATGATACGATATTTCACAACATTCATTATGGTAATCTTTCAGCACCAAAAGAAGAGGTATAAGATGGATGAGTATCTCTTTTGTTTTTATTCTTTGAAAAGCTTATCGTTTAATCTACGGTGCTCTTTCTTGGCCTGAATAATTATTTTTGTTTAGGTGTATGATGCCGCCCGACGTGCAGCAATACATGACACTATCATGAAGTTCCCTGACAAGTATTCTACTGTCGTAGGGGAACGAGGGCTCAAGGTGAGAAGACTGATGCTATCTACATAGTAATTTGTTTGCTGCTGTAGTCTTGGAATAAACATCCCTCTCAGAGGGTTAGTTTTCTGCAGAGTCGTACATCTACCTCCTGCAAAGTCAGTTTTTTGTAGTTTTTTTAAGGGAAAATTAGGTTCACATCCTTTTTTTTGTTACTCCATTGAATAAAATCCTATTCATTTTCAATTTTTGTTCAAGGTCCTTAGGTATCAATAACATCATTAATTATTTGAATAATAAAATATTTTTATTTTTAAATATATTCATTTAGTGTTAAAATATTTTTATTATTTGAATAATAAAATATATTAAATATTTTAAAATATTTTTATGGCTAAATTTTTTATCATATATTTTTTTTAGTTTGTACCTATTTTTAATTTGCAAATATTTTTTAATCTGTACCAATTTTCTTTTCATTTTTAATTTGTACCCATATATTAGTTTCTTTTTGTGCCCAATTTTTTAAAGTTTTATTTGTGTTTGTACCATGTGGATACTGTCACGTGATATTGTATATTTAATCAATGATAGAAAAATTACATATGGTATATTTATGTTTTATGCCTAAACTTTGTATCATATATTTATATTTTTAGTTTGCACCCACTTTTAATTTGCAACATTTTTTTAAAATTTGCAGTATTTTCTTTTTAGTTTTATTTTGTACCCATGTATTAATTTCTTTTAGCCCCTATATTTTTTTAAAAATTCATTCGTACTCGTAATTTTTTAATCTTTTATCTGTACCCTAATTTATTTATAATATACCCATTCTTCTTTATTAATGTACCACTTTGTTATATGTGAAATGTACCTATTTTTTTGTAAAATGTACCAATTTTTTTAACACTATGGATACATTCTTTTGCCATTTATTATTTCTTATTTTTACATAGTTTTTATCCATTTACTAAATCAAAATGTTTGAATTTTTTTATTGTAACTATTTCTAATAGTATTATAATGAGGGATTTTAAATTTATAGGATTATAAATCTCATAAAATATCAAACAATTAATGTCAAAACTATAAAAATATAAATATTAATAGTAATATAATGAGGTGTACAAAGTCAAGGGACTTTGATCAAACTTTGAATACTATTAAGGTTTTAATCAAAGAATGTTAAGGATTAGGGACCGCATCCAATATATCCATTTTTTTAAATTGCTTATTATTGTTGAGTGTATAACATGCTGACAGAAAAAGGAGGGGAGAGGAATACACAACCGTTTGTTAATCCTTCTTGGTGGAACTATTGAATTCTGAAAAAATTGATAATAATTCTGTGCAGTTAAGTGGTGGTGAGAAACAGCGTGTGGCACTGGCTCGTGCATTCTTGAAAGCACCTCCAATTCTGTAACCATTCTTTTTTTCCCATAATTTTTTTTCTTTTTATTCATGCTCACATCCTTTAAGGAGAAAGTAGGCTGACTATTTTATGATGTTCTTTTTATTTGACATCCGCAGTTTATGTGATGAAGCTACGAGTGCACTAGATAGCACCACAGAAGCAGAAATATTAACTGCATTGAAGTCCTTGGCAACTAATCGAACATCAATTTTCATTGCCCATAGGCTAACCACTGCAATGCAGTGCAATGAGGTAAGCATTCTTTCACCTATGTGTGGATTCTCTTGCATTTTTAAATCTTTTGCACCTTAACATCTAAGACTCCGTAATTCGTTCTTAAGTTTGGTTTGTGACCATGAAAGAGTGTTATATGAGTTGCAGTTTTGTCATACCTTTTAAACTATTGAACTCTTAAGCTACTAAGGCCCCGTTTGATGTCTACAATTGGCTTGCATTGGATAACTCGCTAGATTTGATGAATGTTGAATGAAAAGCATTCAACAGTAGATGCTCACTTGAATAGTTTGTCCAAGTGCAGGTAGAAGATGGATTAGGAGGAATAAGTTTTCTTCACAATTAATCCTTCTCTTACCTTCACTCTGACAAACTATGCAAGCGGGCATCCACTTCAACATTTATTGAAATCTAGTGAGCTGCCCAATCCTAGTCACCAAACAAGGCATAAATGTCTTGTTATCAAAGCCATTGTTGTGCTACCCTCTGTCCTACGATTCCTTTATATTTTCATATTCCTTTTGTACATTGCTATATCTTTCCGTATTCGTTTTATCTTACTCCTCTCTTTTCGAAACAAATCTCAGATTATAGTTCTGGAGAACGGGAAAGTAGTTGAGCAGGGATCCCATGATGTTCTCTTGTCTAAGGCAGGACGATATGCACAGCTCTGGGGACAGCAAAATAACACAATTGATGCACTTGATTAAACCGTTAAATTGGGGGCATGACCTTGTTCCTATTCCTCCGACCCTCTCTCCCTACCAAAATAAGAAAGAGTGGCTTAAGAAGCTATAACCAACTTATAGATATATTGGATTAGTATACATGAGGATGCACTTGGGTTTAAGCAAGGATCTCGCACGTGCTTGAAAAATCAATAAATGGCATGTGTATTTTGCCATACGGTTCTTCTATGGTCTTCACTTCACAATAAGTTTCAAGCACAATGTAAGGTATGTAGTACTGCTTGGTTCCTTCTGATAAATTGTACAGAAGCCAGTTTAGCTTTGAGAAGCATGCGCTATATCCTTTGCAGCCTATGAACATTGGAAGAAATTTTGTGTAAATTAGCATACTGATACCCGAAACAGCTTCTTAACTATATCCTTGCTGCTCAGGATTGAATTCAGTTCACTTTTATACATCATTTTAGGAAGGATTGTGGAATTTTTTCCGTTCCATTTGTTAGTCAGAGTTCTCCATTGTATCACTTGTGCACTATTTGTAAACAATAGAATTTGGCTTTGTCCTTTTAGTTCTATCCATCCATGCACAAGATGTAAATCATTTTGGCAATTTGTGTTTACACATGTATCTTCTTCTTTTTCGCGCAAATTGCGCCTAGCATTGTGTGAATTTATGGTTCTTTATTGCGTTTGTGGAGTGAAAGGTAATTTTGCTTACGTTATTCTTTTGTCGTATCAATAGCGACATTGTGTAACGTAAATAGTGTTGTGCCAAATCTGGCGTAACAATTGCATGTTGAACAGATTAGGAAGTTACTGGCATTTGTAGAAGTCGAGTTTGTTCATCATACAGTTGTCAAAATAATCGTTGCATGTAACGCTTGCCTGACCACCTACCCCGAGCACGGACAAAAGTGCCCGGTGTATAAATTCATCTGTATAGAAGTTCTTGATCACTGAGTCTGAGAGTGGTTTGAATGCATGTTATGTGATGAGAATTTTGCCAGATTTGAAAGAGTTCTAGGGCTGTGAGCGTTCATTTGGTAATTTTACCTGCACTTTCCCATTTGCTTTTATCTCAAGTGCTGCATTGGCTCTCTCATAAGGTTTGTTCTCTTTTCTTTGCTCCAATCTGCCTTTCCTTCTATACAGAATCTGTACATAGCTGCATTTTTACCTGGTTGTTCGTAACATCTTTGTATCGAGCTTCTAAAGTTCGGTTGGCGGGGTTTTTCGGTCCCGTTTTATTTTTCTTACTTTAATTTCAGTAGTTTTTCATTTGCCTGTATCCTTTAACCATTCTTGCTTCAAATTTTGAAGGTGCAAAAATGTACTTGTGCTGCAAAAGGAAGAAAAGGGAAGTAAAAGGAAGACTACCATGTGGCCTGTGTAGCTTTCATCCTTATTCTCCTCTCCTTTTGCATGTACATGTTAACAATGGATCCTCAATGTAGGAGTTTGAAAATGAGCATACAATTGAGGGAGTGCTTCTTGAAGCACTTCTAAGAACAAGCGTTTTTGCTAGATGCACGTTCAAATTTGAATTAAAGGCTTAAATGTTCTTCTAAAAGTGCTTTTATTATCCGGAAACACTTCTGACTTTTTCTATCAAAAGTTGTCTTGAGATTTTTTTTTTGTTTTTTGTGTAATTTCAAGGCGTTTTTAGCTTTTCTGAAAACACTTCCAAACAGATACCTCTAGAAATCAAGAGTTGCGGTTATTTCAATAAATTATCATGGTAAAAATTTCAAGTTCTACTTTTCATCATAAGGAAATTTGTTTTAAGCCGTTAGTGTTTGGCCAAAAAAAAAAGCAGAAATAGTTTCATCTTGCAAACCTTCTCTTTTTGTTTAGGGAGCAATTTTCCAAAACTTACTACTATGTCTAAACACTTTTGCTAGAAGCACGTTGAAATTTAATTACTATGTCTAAACACTTTTACTAGAAGCACGTTGAAATTTAATTAAAATCTAAAAAGTGCTTTTACAATCTAAATGTATGTCAAACACTGACAAATCGCTTGTTGTCAATAAAACATCGCGGCAAAAATTTCTAGTTCTACTTTTCATCAAAAGGAAGTTTGTTTCAAGACATTGTTGTTTGAAAAAAGCAAAATATTTTCACCTTGCCAACCTTCTCTTTGTGGTAAAACTAGCAACGAAAGTGACATCATAGGTGATGAGCTGTAAAATATTTTGGTAAAATATCTTGGAGCTGATGCTAATGTTACAAATGAATTGGTATTTTGCACTTCCGTACGGTTTTATAGTTAAAATGGTCTCTGAGATTGGCATAATTCTTCATTTTGGTCCCTAAGATTCGATAGAAGTGATTTCTAAGTTTGTACACCGTAAATTATTTTGGTCATTCCGAAAAAATTTATCAATATCTTTGTCAAATTGTCACGTGAACGACCATGTGACCACCTTTTTAAGGATATTTTTGTCAAATCAACTCATCTACTTAACGAGGATATTAAAATATTTTCATAGAATAAACAAAATGATTTACGGTAGACAAACTCAGAGATCGCTTCTATCGATTTTTAATGTCATGGATTAAAATGAGAAGTTATGCCAATCTCATAGAACTAAAAAGCCCCAAAATATTCATTTGTTGTTTTCCTCCCTCCATTCCACACAACAAGGTCACAACAATGGTAAAAAAATTCCTTTTCTATTACGTCCTAATTTACTTTTGCTTCAAACTTTACTTCACGTAAGTTTTCATGTTCTTTCTTTGTTCCTTTTTTATAGATTAATTTTAAAGAGAGTAACATAGAAAATAAAATTTCTTATAAAAGCTGATATGGGAATAGTAACAGAAAATTAGAAGCGAATTACAAACACAAACTAATTACAAACCTTTAATCAAAAATGAAACTCGAGAACACTGAATCGTGGGTTATGTCCGGTATTATTATAAGTTTAGTGTGCCTCCGGTTCTATTTATGACTAAAAGTTTGTAACTGACCTTTTTTGTGCGCATTTTCTATATTACAAACGTGGGTTAAAATTAAAATGTATATGGTGCAATCCAGGGATGGAAATATGGGAGGGAAGTGAACTAGTTGAAGGGAGAAGGAAGAGTGCCCGAATATTGGCATTGAAGGAGGTTAAGAAGAACAAGGAAATCTCCAAATCCAAAGACAATGTCGGTAGAGAGAACAGTCAGACACCCGTTGCAGCAAAACCAGCAGCTTCTGGTGCCAAGAGGGGCCGAAAGCGCAAAAAACTTGAAGATGTAGGTCTATCTTCTCAACAGGTCGTTCTGTCCCTGCCCTACTCTTGCATTATGTATTTACATATATTCTTTGTATTGATATTGTCGATTGTGTATCAATAACATGTTGGTACTTATTGACAATGATATCGACACCTTAACGATACAGTACAGATAGTTTGTTCTCTAATAAAGAAACAATGTTCGTTTAAGTGAAGAACAAACGTATATATTTGCATATATAAATTGGAACTCTAGTTTATCTTGGATACTTATTTCAGCTGCAGGGTCCTTTCCATAAGTCGCAGCTCGGTAATCCTTCCCTTCTCATTTGCCGTTGCATGAAGGATTTTGAAGACCGAATACATGATGTCGATGCGATCAAGATCAGTGAGCCTCTTATTTCTAACATAGATTTTGTTTAATTCAAGATTTCCGAATGCAGTCACGTAGTTATTGTTCATGTTGCAGAACAACTGTTATCTACGCCATTGTCGGTGAAACAAGTCTGCGAGTACATCCTTAATACATTACAGAGGTGTGTGCACATTTTTTTACCTCTTCTGCAATGCTTGAATAACTACTTGAAAAATTACTTAAGGACGTCGATTATTTACATACGATATGTATTTTTTTATCCTAATCTTTGTGCTTTACATAGGAGGGACACACATGATGCATTTGCTCAGCCTGTTGACCCTAACAAGGTTAGTTCTATACTTGTTGCCAAATTTTTCTCACATTTTTTTTTTCATCTTTCTAATCAGAAAACAACAATATGTTTCTTGGTTTCCAAGGTAACAACCTATTACGCAATCATAAAAAATCCAATGGATTTCGGCACCGTGAGAGATAAACTTCATGCAGAAATGTATGCAACCCTGCAACAATTCAAGGTTCGTGCCGAAACAAACACTCTTCCTCCTTTCCTATTCTTTCCTCTTCTTCTTCTTGCAATTTGTGTTGCACCATCTTCAACTCTCCTTCGTATCCGGTGTCTTTCAAAAACCGGAAAAAATTACCACATCATCTTATGTTTTGAATTGCACCAAGTTGCATATGTAATTGGCGAAATTATGAACTTTTTTCTTTGAATTAACAGCGTGATGTGCTGCTGATACCCAAAAATGCAATTCACTTTAACGCAGAAGCCACCATATATTACCAAGAGGTAGGTTAATTTATTTAATTCTTCCTTTTCATCGGTTTTTTTTTTTTTTTTTTTTTTTTTTTGTAATATAAACTACCATGAAAATCTTATTTTTCTTACCAGGCTCAAGGTATAAAAGATCTAGCCGACGAACTTTTCAGAACTCTGAGATGTGATCGACTACGTTTTCTGTTAAAATATTACTTCCATGAAATACTCTGCCCTCATGGAAATGGTGGAGATATACACTCAAAGTTTCTTGAACCAACTGGGAAGCCAAAGTTTCTTGAACCAACTGGCAAACCATGGCGCTTGTGTGGCTCATCCCTCAGAAGAGAAAAACAAGCAGATCCAAATCCTGGTAAGTATTGCAATGGCTTAGAGACTACTGATTAGAAGATAACTAGAACAGGCAGAATTCGAAGAATTTTTCTACCTTCATGCATTTTTATGGATGGAAAGGAAGCTAACCTGGTTTGCTTTTCCCTTGCTTTGGACAGGATTGAGAGATGGTAGGGACTCAAATTTAGCCGAAGCGCAGAGGCGTTACACTTATTGTACGCCTTCCAAAGAGAATGAATCTTTAATCTCAGCTGTCTACAATGCACCCAACAAATCACTTGTTCATGTAAGTTGCTATGATATAACCGCACCTGCATAAGGAAGTACAGCAAGTTAGTTTTTTACACACAAGATTTTTCGTAACTTCTGCACGATATGTTTCATATGTACACAGAAAAGGACTTTTACTTGGCATGCAATTTGTTCCATGACCGAAGACTGATAGCCTGTCTGTATTCAGTTGTTCTCATAGAACTTTATGGAAGTGTTTGAAAAATGTTTTAACTTTGAGATTATATACTGGTTTGGGCAAACTTGATATATAAGTATAAATAATTAAATATATAACTTGGTTGCTTCTTCTTGACAATGTAGATTGATGCTGGTTTAGGATACAAAGAAAGTCTCGTGCGCTTTGTTAAAAATTTGGGGCCAACAGCTCAAATGGTTGCTAAGAAGAAATTAGAAAGTCTAGTTGCAGCTCAGAATTGTCAGCCTCAGGCAACCCCTCCATTTCAGAACCAAAATTATCCTGCTTTCGCCCTATCTGCATCACCGGCACTTGGTCATCCTATTGGTGTTAATAGTTCTCAAATGACTCAAATGCAACATAATTCCCAGTATAACTTGCCAAAGGAAGTGAATGTTCCTTATTTTCTTGGTGATGCTTCTGCACAAGGATATGCCCCGGTTAGAGCCAGCCTATGCATCAATGAGGGTGCTTACAATAGAAACATGAATGCACCCGACACATCCAGAATAGACATGAAGGGTAATCTCATTGACCCGAAAGGGAAGGCACATGAGGAAGGATATACGTATAAAAAAGCTTTCCCGGAACGGATAGGTATTGATATAAACAAAATCATGGACTCCCCTAGTCTTACCAATGGTATAAGACTTCACAAGAGCAAAATGGAAGGCAGGCCTCATCAAAATCAGAACAGCAACGTTCAGTTGGAGTCGCACATTCGCGTTGTTAGAGATTTGGGTGGTCCTGAGACAAACAGCACAAAGTTTAGGACTGTGGATATGCTAGCAGAACGTAACAATGTAGGAAACCTGCAGCTGCTTCCGCAAGCTCGGATGTCTAGGACTGCATTGAATCAGTCGAGGCTGCAAGAGATCATGTCAAATACCAACACCTATCTCAGGACATCATCTTACTTGCCTTCACCCACTCCAGAGATGTCGAGTTTGATCCAGACAACAACTTCCTTCAATGGTTTCGACGCTCAACTGAGTAGCAACTATGCAGCTAACTCTTTTCATGCAGGTCAGCTTCCTCAAAAGAATAACTATATAGCTAACCCTACACAGGCAGGTCAGCTCATGCCTCAATTTAACAGTCCCAATGCGGCGCAAGGTGTGCAAGAAATGAGTAGCTTTCCGAGCATGAAACTGAAGCTTGGTGAGGATCATAGTGCATTGGCAAAGAGTGACATGTTTATGAGGAGAGAACAAGGGGTGGAGTCACTGGCGGTTCAGGGAATAGTGAAGCCTCCTCCCTTGTACAATGCATTTGGTAGCCATGAAAGAGCTTCAACTCAATGGTACCAAAAGGAGCCTACTCCTGAACATCTTCTGCCCTGGCTGGTGGACTCTCAGCAGCCTAACTTGTCTCTTCAGCTGTGAGTTGAGCTATTTGAGGGACTCCTTTGAACTATCATCCTATGAATGTGGATCAAATGGACTTGTTTTGTATTTCTCCTTTGAATGTCCTTTGCCTTGTCGTAAGTTAGAGATAATTTTATGTTTTATGTTCTAGTGTGTGATGTCTTTCTTAGCGTTGTTCATCTATGTCGTCTCTGAACTGCTTTCGTAGCACCCCAGACTTATGTTTTATGTTCTAATGTGTAATGTCTTCATTTGTGTTCATCTATGTCCATCCCTTAGGGCTTCAATTTTTTATTTATTTATTAAACTGCAATACTCTATTTAATTTAATTTAATTTAAACTACAAGGGAGATTCAAATTTGCAAGCATAGGTGAGCACACTACTTTAGCCAACTTGACTAAACCAAATTTGCTAGGCCTTCAATTTAAGTCCTCTTTTAAGGCTGAGCTTCAAATTGAATTTTTTCTTCACTCGCAGCTATAGTTCAAGAGTCTAAAAAATGAACGTTAAAATGATGAATTCTCGCAATGTGGCATCAAAAGACGCGTAAGTTCTCAAAGAGGGCAAGTGAAAAGACAAAAAGCACTTATTCCTAGTGAAAGCCACTTCACCTGTAGATGGGCTGGCTCCTTCCTTCAACCTGATAGTTTAAGCTTTACAGTATTTATATTTTAATTTGGCTCGTGTGTACCATTCTAAGCAGATACTTAACCCTCCAATAACAAATAACAAGTAAAAGTTAATCATTAAACAACACATGCATGCTTTGCTATGCCCGTGAAACTTCACTTCGATTAGGAAGCTCGTTGCTGGGTTTATTGCTTATTGTTGGTATTATTTTGGACGGACATTAAAGACAGCTCCCTTGAGGGGGTGGGAGGTTGCAGATCTGTGAATTTTTATTGAGCGAATGGGTGGGTAGTTTAGATTAGGAAGCTTTGGGCATGGAGGTGCGGCTGTGATGGACTGATGGAGGGGATAAGGAAGAGCTTGTCATTTTTTAATTATATTTTTAGTTTTCAAAATATTATAATAGTTTTTAATAATATTTTGTACACATGGCAAGTGAGTGGGCCCAATCATGCCACATTAATGATCCTAAAAGATTTTGTAAGATAACTAACGAAGATGGCAAAACAAAGCAAATTGAATTTCAGCAAGTAAAATGATAAAAATTAAATTTCAGAAATTAAAGTAAAATCGAAATGAAGTTCCAAAAAGCCTAACAAAAAAATAAGTCTAAAATTTATGCCTTAACTTACCGACATGTCAACATATTATACGATGTTGGCAGGCTGCCACCTCTTACTTTTTAGTCTTTAGCTCTCAGGGAGGGGGGACCATTACTGTACGTATCGTTTTCACTGACTAGGGTTTGCAAGAGAGGACCACCTTTAGCTTACTTCACATGTCAATGAACTATTATGTGAAGGATGAAAGCAAAAGAGTTGAGAACACTTACTATTTTATGACCCCTAGGGTTGGAAGAGATGTTTTTGGTTCTGGATCTATCTTTTGCGGAGAGCTTTGATAAGTAGGTGTGATAACTTTTCCCTCCCTTGTGTGATATCTGGAAAGCACATAATGCATGCAGGTGAATAATTGCATTATAAACTTGGATACATTATTGACTCACGCGCTAACAATTTAAACTTCATAAGTTCAATATGTTGAAATGTCTCACATCGATCGTATCAATGAGAAAATAAGAGTTTAAATATCTTAATCCTACTCCAACTAACACCGAGGCCTTTTGTGATAAAATCTCATACCTGACGGATTGTGTATGTGGTAATTACCAAGTTAAGGACAATATCAGTGTTGTTGGAGTGTGCTTTTGACCTGTCTCTCTGATAATTCTACATGGTATCAGAGTCAAGGAGCGGGCTCGTACTGTACTACCATGTGATGAGTGGGTCCCCTTGACCCCGCACAATGATGGTGGGTCCCTTAGCCCCGCGTGTAGGGTGAGTCCCCTTGACTCTACGTGGTTGTCGATGTGTAGATCTTACACGTGTGACCCACTACTTGGATCTCACGTGAGGAGGAAGAGTTTAAATATCCTAACCCCACTTCAACTAACCCCGAGGCCTTTTGTGATAAAATCTCACACCTAACGGATTATGCAGGTGGTGATACGATATACCCACATAAAACTCATCAACCAATCTCCATAATCATATAGAAGTCGCAAACTTACAAGAGAAATTTCTCTCATAATTGAAGAGTATCATTAACAGTTTAAGCCTCGAAAGTCTAATAACTGTCTAACATGAATCATTCACTCTTTTGTTTCTCGTAGTGAACTATTTTCTTTTTGTTTTTCAAACTGGTAAGGTGGTCTATTCTTTCCTTGCCTATCTTGGTAATGAAATAGGTAGAACTAGGCATTAAGAAAGAAGCCAACGAAAGCAAAAAGATCAAGTTGTTGTCTAGTAATTCACTTCATCCACTATGGCACTGTTGGTTAATTTTCTAACGGTTTAACCTTTTGCAGCCCAACAATTGTTCATGCATCGTTTCAGCTCGAGTAAAATATGACCTTCCTTGCTAAAACCCGTCACAGAACGGGAGCTTCAAGCATACATTGAGGAAGCGCACACAAACAATCGAGGAGAAACTACAATTCCCTCTCTCGTTATATACAAATACAAGAGGTTCTCTCACTTCCAACCTCACTTCTTTCAAACCTAGCTGATCTCCCCGATTACTTGTTGTGAGAAAGACATTGTATACGAGTGACGTGAGAGAGTTCTCATAAGATTAATACATAGATATCTTGGGTATACAAGTAACTTCCTTGCCCAAATTGGTAATGAAATAGGTCGAGCTAGGCACTTAAGCTTCCAAGAAAGAAGTCTAAAGAAAGCAAAAAGATCCGTTGTCTTCTAGTAGATCACCTCATGCACTGAGCCAATTAGAGATTTCTTAGAATGACATCAACAACATAATAAAATAGGGCAACTGACAACATGGAAACACACCCCCATATAGAAAGAATATTAATTTTACTGTAAGTTAATCAAAAACCGTAACACATGCTCATTACTCGATAAATACAATTAAAAATCTACTTCACTTGTACTTTCATTATCTTTTTTTTGTGTACTTCCATTATCGACAACCAATGAACTGCTTATTTTAATTCACTTTAGATCTTCGCACACACGTACACATAGTATATGCATACCAACTTTTGAGCCCTAAAAAGGGGCTTTCCGCTCCATACAAACTAGAAAACCCTACTCACAACTAAATTTTTTAACACTGCTTGACTCATTACTTGTAAGGATCCAACAGAACTCACAACTTACAACTTGATAGGTGCAGGTAACAACTCGTTAAAATCACACCAAAAAACAGTTTTTATACGTGTCAGATAGTAATTTTCAGTTTAGGACGAATGACAATGACCTAAGAAGGAAGCCATGTTTCTTTCTTAATTTTTACCTCAATGGCTAACAAATTTGTGCAAAAATAATGCTCAAGAAATAGATTTTCTGCTGATAAAGACTAAAAGTAGATTGTGGGGTATGTGATATACAATAAAATACGGTGATCACGACTGCCAATGAAGCATGAAGTGCAACAATAGCATATAGCTCCAAGTTCCAACCTCTGCAATTCTGAGAGACTGAGAGACTGCGTTTAGCCCCACTAGACGTAGACATGAGGCGGGTTTTAAGATGCCAAAACGCATGCCATAAAATTTCACTTTCTAATTATGATGCGTTGCCAAACATTGCCAAAAGAATAAAGACAACCAACCACAGCCTCCATATTTCCCCAACATAAAACATGCACCTGTAAATTGTAAAGCACCAAATGAAAAGCTCCTTCTCCTGGCGAGGGTTCGGTTGACACGGCTCGACTAGTACGTTCTCTAGTAACATGTTTTTAACTGTCTAGTTTTTACTAAAAATAATAATCTATAAGCACAGGAGAGAAGTTTTGATACAATGGGAATATATATACCTACATACTCTTCTCTCTAGTAGCATGTTCTTTTACCCTTTCATTTACCTGTTGGAGAGAAACTTCCATACAACGGGGTATACTCATCGTCTCGCTCTAGCAGCATGTTTTTAGCCCTAAGTTTTTACTAAAAATAAGTCTCCAGATCTCACTCATCCAGTCTAGTGTGATAGTCCAAGTGGTTAGTACGAAAAAGAGGGGAATGATGGCAGGACAGGAAAGTTCTTTTTCCCTCGACAATCATTTTGTTCAATTCAATGGAAATGTTTTGAAGGGAGGAAGAAGTTCCCTCTCCATTAAAGTTCCATGCCCACTAATTTCATAGAGTTGATCAGCCTCTTTCTCTTATTTCCTACTACCTGCAACCAAAATATATGTATACAACAAAAAACGTACACTAAATTTGTTGTCGAATTTCAAATGGTGTCACATCATCCATTGTAATAGATATAGCACCCCTGACCTATTAAGTTTAACTTCAGCATGTTCAAAATGCACAAACATAAATTGTGGTGTAGAAAATTATGAAAATTAACGGAGAGCACTGTAATATAGTATCAGTAGAGACATCAGACATAATTTAATTCACCTGAGGAATATGTAACAAAACAATGCAGAGATAAACACAGTTCTGATCACTAAATACATCATGAAAAGAAATGGTTAGGTAAACAATGTATACAACAAAGAAGATAGTAAAAGGGAGCTCCCTTCAGTCCAAGCACAGAGAAGAAAAGAATGAAATTTATCTCCCGCATCATTCACACATTCGCAGTAGAAATATCCACTCCTTTTCTACTGAGTTTGAATGAATGAGTCGGCAGCTAATTCAAACCCTTTGCCCTTCCGTGAGTGGACTGAAGAAAGCTCACTTAAACCATCTCTAAGAACACATAATACACATGATTCCAACAATATTTACTGCTCCATGAAAACTATTATTCAAAGGGATGAAAAATGGAAACAAACATTTTGGTACGTTTATGCTAATTCAGAAGGGGGTAAAACAAGAAAGACCAACAGGAAGACTCGATTTTCTCTCTTTTTCACTAATGACCAGCTAATTGAACAAAATGTTATTATGATGTCGTTGCAATTCCAAGTACATTTTTGCCTATGATGCAACCATATAAACTTAATAAGGTTTCCCTGAATCATTTTGAAGTCTAATTAATAAACGAAAACAAGCAAATGACAAGTTAAAAAGTGATCACAGTATTCACTAGTGCTTCCTTGGATGGAATTTGTGTATGCAGATGACTAGCATTCGAATTTCATGTTCAATTATATTCCATTAATAGTTATTACTGAAATGTTATAGGAATCCTGAAAGCAATAATATTAATTCTTACTTAACTTAATTACAGAATTCCTGCAAGCAGAACTATTATTTATATAACTGAAATCTTACCGAAATTCTGGCAGCAGAAATGTTCAAATCTAACCTAAAATCCTATTACTTTAATGTTACAGAGCTCTTAAAACCCAATTAACATATCTGTAATTTTTTTGGGTAATTCCTGTATATATTCTCAAATAGGTGTAGAGATTATACAAATTACCAGAAAATAGTGTCGAATTCTGACTTTCCATGACTTATAATGTATGTCCAAGACTTGCTTTCTCTCCATTTCTTCTGTTTTCCACTTACACATAATTAGAACCAGATAATTTAAAGCGGGGGAGTAACTTCTTTTTATTCAGATCTCAAAGTTAGTATGTGCATAAACCCTGACCCCAAGTAAATATAATCCCACTACTATGCACCAAAGATTCACAACCACCAAAAACATCAGATCATATATCATCGCCTTAGATGCCCTATGAATTACTCTTAACAATATATATATGTATATGTATATAATATACAAAGATGGTATAACAGCTTTCATCACCACAATTTAGTAAAATTAAAGATTAAAATTAGTAAAGATTGTGTAACAGTTCTTCTACGAGAACCTCATCGTCAAATTAAGGAGCTTTTTAGAGATTAGGAGGGAACAAATAAATAAAATGGTGTGAGAAAGACCAACTTATCAAAAATGAAGCAAACACATACCTGATAGACTGAAGGACTAAAAGACTTTCAGACTTACTAAGAATATAACCTCCACAGAAACGTCCTTACAACTTCACCAAAAAGTAAATCCTTGCAATTCAACCTCCATCAGCAGCCGCACTGTGTATAAGTCTGTGATGATACATTCAGAAGAATTGAAGAAACGCAGACACAGATAAATAGACAAAACCCATGAATAATTAAATAACACTATTAAGAAGAAAAAAGATAATTAATCGAAAAGAGTGATGCAAAAATCAAGGAGGGAGAGGGAGGAGGGAGAGGGAAAATGGGGGGAAGGAGGAGAGGAAGTGTCGCTGTCTTTCATGGGAATCAGAGAAGGGAAAACGATATATTGGAGATCTCTCTATCTACCTGATCTCTCTACACAAATCTGGCAAAAGCACTGGTGTTTGTGTGTTACTATATACCAAAAGAATAAAAGTAAAAAAAAAATTAAAAAAAAAAAGTGAAAAGTGGTATTTTCTTTTCTTTCCTTTTCTTATTGTTACTAGTATTTACTCATTCAACATGGATACGCTACAATACAAGGCTCCCTATCTCTCTCCATCTCCAGATATATCACCACAGACTCAGAGAGATGATTATGCCACTGATATATACAGCTCATCCTCTCCACTACTGTGTGGAGAAGAAATAGGTGGTGGGGTTTCTTTGACCATAGCTTTGCTTGCTTCTCTCTCTCCCTCTCTCTCTCTCTCTCTCTCTCCCTCTCTCCCGTCTACTACTGTCTGTTGCACTAGTATCTAGGTCTAAATCTTCTCTCAGTATTTGTAGGGCAGAAGTACTCTATATATAGGGTTTGAGGTCACAGATGTGTCCGGCAGAGAAAATCAGGGTCTCATACTCGTTGAGTCATTCTGAATATCGAAATGACTTAACTACCCCTCACCCTACTCCCCCATCGTATTTTATTTACACTAGCCGTCATATGCATAAGACATTTTCTGAATCACAGTATGTTATGCACAATTTACACGTTATAAATGTATTTATATATATAAATTGCTTCAATAATATTTTTATAAAAGAAAGTTAAATATTTGAAGTAAATAAAGAATATTAGATTATGCTAGAAGAAACCTCATAAACAAATCAAAGCAGTTGAATCCAATCCTTAGTGTATATAACATCGTTTGTTAAAAAAAATAATCATTTGACAACTAATTGAATCACATTATTATGCGCATAAAAAACCTTTTTTTATCATCAGCAATACGCGTCTCTTAAGATGTTTTGAACGTGTTTAAAAATAGAGAAAATAATATTTAATAAACAGTTAATTGAATCACATTTTTATTAATCTATTGTAAGGCTAAGACCACCCCATTCCCCTTAGTGCAGATAATATTGTTTGTTCAAAGAACAAAAAAAACAATCATTTGACAACTAATTGAATCACATTTTTATGCGCATGCAAAAGACTTTTTTTATAACTGGCACAACGCGCCTCTTAAGATGTTTTGAACGTGTTTAAAAATAAAGAAAATAATATTTAATAAACACCTTATTAAATCACATTATTGTGAGGCTAAGGCCATCCCCCTCCACCTTAGTGTAGATAATATCGTTTGTTAAAAACAAAAGCAATCATTTGACAACTAATTGCATCACATTATTATGCACGTACGAATGACCTCTTTTATAGCCGGCATTACACACTTCTTAAGATGTTTGGAACGTGTTTAAAAAAGATAAAATAATATTTAATAAATAATTGATTGAATCATATTATTACTAGTCTATTGTGAGATACTAAAAAAATGTACAAAAAGAATTCATTATTAAAAAACATTGTTTATATGACGAAAATACCCCTGCATTATTTTGGGTTGCTTCTAAATTTTTTTGTTTGGGAGACATTTTTATCCAAAACATTTTGGTGAAGCATGTGACCCCAAAAGAGGCTGTTGGCGTTATATATAGAGATACCATGTAGGTCCAACTAGAATACCACGATGACTGATATTGTATTTGACCACACATACAATATGCCTTCTCTATAAGAACAACTTACATGTAATGAGTTTATCATTATGTGGCATCCCAATAAATGTCATGTATTTTTTTTTTTTTCGAAAATCAATTCGTGTGTTGAAAAACCTGCATCTGTCATTATACTATAAGAATGTGATGCTATAGTGGTCATGAACATTTTTTATGTAAGTCATTTTCTTTTTTCTACGACTAAAACTCAACTCGAGTCTTCCTTAATTTTTTTAAATCCAAATGTTGTCACTTAACTCTTTAAAACTTAACTTGAGTCTCATTTTGCCTCCTATCGTCAAAGTTTGTTACAAATCCGTTAAAATTGTCTATGTGACACAAATAGATTCATTGTTGCTAGGGTTGTAAACCAGCTCGAAATAGCTCAAGCTTGTGACAGGTTTGACTCTTATTTGGTTCGTGGAAGCTCAGTTCATGAAAGAACAAGCCAAGTGTATCATTTGACTCGTAAAGCTTGTGAGCAGCTTATTTATTTTTTACGAGATAGTTTAAACTAGATTCTACTCTAACAAGTTTGCTTGGATGAAATATCACGTTCAAGCTTTTGCTTTTGGATAATTATATATATTTACTATTCTTCTAACTTTAGATTGATTATCTTCACTTTTAGTTTTCTTTTAGATGGAGATCGATATTATGTCCCTTCATTGTATTTTGTTTTTAAGGAAATTACAGGTGTGGAAAAAGAAAGATACTATTTTAAAGTATTATTTTTGAAAATTTTATGTCATACTGTTTATTTATTTATATATGGACTTGTTATTATCATTTTAAAAATCTAATTATGCACCCCAAATTTATTATATTTAGAAAGAAAAAAATACTCTTAATTATGAGAAGTGCACAATTGATTTTTAGAGTGACAATTTTAATTCTCTCTCTCTCTCTCTCTCTCTCTCTCTCTCTCTCTATATATATATATATAATATTATTCACTGTGTTGGCATGTCGTGAAGTTTTGTTGCAGACATCTTATTGCTTTAAATAGCTCGGACTAGCTTGAGCTCCGTATTGAATTTTGAAGTTTTTAAGCTTACTCGAGCTTGGATAGGAGCTAGCCAAGTCTATCTTGAGCTCTAAAAAATGAAACAAGCCAAGGTTGAGCAATGTGATATCCAGTTTGGCTCAGCTCGTTACCGTAGTTTAATTTTTGAGATGTGTGTCACATTTCTCCAAAAAAATATTTATTAGAATTATGTTTCTCTTATTTTGAAATTAAAAAAATCTAGTTTATATTTATTTTTACAATGTGGCACACATCTAAGCTATAATGTGTTGGACTGTATGGAATAAAGTGAGATATGATGAATTTTAAGAAATTAAATGACCAAATTTGAGTTTCAAAAAAATAAGTGACACTTGAGTTGAGTTTTAAGGATGCTAATGAAATCAAGCCTATATAATTTTTGGCTTATTTGTTGATTTTCCCCTCAAATTTGTAAGGCGTTGTCAATTCCCCCCCCCCCCCTCCCCCGAACTTTAGTTTTAGTCAATTACTCTTATGAATTCTTATAATTAGCCAAATTCCCCACGCTGTTAGATTTCCTAATTTCTCATCTGATATTCCGTCCATCCTGAACAAAGATGTCTTTTTATAGGGAGACTGACTTGCTTAACTCAACTCACCACAACCTCATCCGCCTCCTCCAAATACCTTACGAGCCCTTTTCATTTTCTATGCTTCTAATTCCACTCCTGCAAAATTCCCCACTGAATTCGACAGTTAAATCCCATTTCCAATTCTTTCCACCCCACATCTCTAAACCTCAATCTCTCTCCCAAAACCACCTCCAAAAATCTACTTCCACCAATTAACACCCAAATCCCAAGTTGCCCACCACCCTATGCTTCTTT